CCAGGTCCAGGTGTCGGTGCGCCTCTCGGCCGGCCCTTGCCCGCCGCCGCCACCCTCGCCATGGCCTTGGTGCGGGGCGCCGATCCGGTGGCGGGGCCCTCCCGCTGGCTGCCCACGCACGTCCAAGTGACGGTGCTGCGGGCCCGCGGGCTGCGGGGCAAGAGCTCGGGCGCGGGCAGCACCAGCGACGCGTACACGGTGATCCAGTTGGGCCGCGAGAAGTACAGCACGTCGGTGGTGGAGAAGACGCACGGCTGCCCGGAATGGCGCGAGGAGTGCTCCTTCGAGCTGCTGCCCGGCGCCCTGGACGGCCTGCTGCGGGTGCAGGAGGCCGACGCGGGCCCAGCGCCCTGGGCCGCGGGCCCCGCCACCGCCTGCGAGCTGGTGCTCACCACCATGCACCGCTCGCTCATCGGCGTCGACAAGTTCCTGGGCCAGGCCACGGTGGCGCTGGACCAGGTCTTCGGCGCAGGCCGCGCCCAGCACACTGAGTAAGCGGGGCCCCGCGGGGGAGCGCGGAAACGGTTAAAGGTCCAACCGGGGCGGGGCTGGGTCGGGGAGCACGACCCCGAATCTCTGCCGAGACCGTGCACATCCCGCCTCGCGCTCAAGGGCATAAACCGACAAGCTCGATCTTCGCGTTTTAGGGCTCCGCTGTGGTGCCCCAAATTGCATTGTGCTGGGCTGGGCAAACTGGTGGACCCTGGCGAGGCCTGCAGCCGGGTGTGGTGGACACTTGAGCGCCGGGAGTAGAATTGTCAATAAAGTTGAGGGGTGGGATCCTGAGGCTTCTGCGGGAACCTGAAGAAGGACATTTGGTGGGTGGCATTCATTGATGCTCCACTGCCTTTCTTTCCTTGAAGGGAGAGGAACTTCTGGGCCCCTGTCCCTGTCCTCACCCTCAGGGGAATCCTTAGGCTTGCCCAGCCCCAGGTTGGGAAGAAAGCATAGGTGCATCCTCCAGGGCCAGTTTATCCAGAGACAGCTAAGGGCATCCCTTTTGCCTGTTCCTCTGGAGACACCCCCTTGGACCCTGTTCTTCTGGGGGGCCCGTGGCTAAGGACAAGAGAGCCTCCCCAGTACAGGAAGGCTCCTGCTTTTAAAAGCCCTGTCCTAGGTAGTGACTATGTCATGCATGGTTAATGCCCAGTGGAAGATAACCTTCCAGCTACCTCCAGCTAGACAGGCCTATGGGGTTTTCAATCACTTATTTTGGCAGGATTTATCTTCCCTGTGCTGAGATCAAGGCTATACAGTCGGGGCCCTATTTCCTGTTTGGAGCTAGAGCTGGAAACCTGTCCCCAGGGTTGACAGTCTTACTGTGGGTCAGTCAAGGGGTTAACTGGGAGTGCTGTTCCCCCACCCCCCATCCCATCCTGGTAGATCCTGTGTGCAGAAGGTCAGGGCGTTGGGGCAGGTGGGTGCCCTGGATGGGGAGAAAAGTTTGCCTGAGTTGGATGGCATCCAACCGAGTAAATTTAGGAAGGTTTGCTGGGAGAGAGAGCTGAGCCTGGTGCAGCCCCAATGAAGCCAGGAGAGAGGTAGGTGGAGAAGGAACTGACCTTAAAGGTTTTTCACAATGTAAGTAGGCAGACAGCAAGCTCGCTCCCTGGTCTGGGGTGGGAAGCTGACTTGGCACAGGGCTGTGATCCTACTCTACTCCCCCACTCACCTGGCCTTCTCCCCTCCTTCCCTCTTGACTGGCTGTTTGGTGGTTGGATGTGGGATCATGTGGTATAGCTTGGCCCTTGTTTTGTTTTTTTCCACCCTTTTCCTGTCTTCTCCCTCCTTCCTGGCTGGCTCATGGAACCCAAGGTTGTGGGTGTGGGGTGGAAAATGCTTTCCTGGATCTTTGTTTTTCAGAAGAGGTACCTGTCCTCAGATTCACCAGTCCCTTCCTCAGTTCTTCCTCTTTCCCCAATCAGATAATCTGACCAGACAGGTGGATAGGATCCCTGGTATGAGGAGGCAAATGATGACACCACCCCCACCCCCCAGAAACCACTCTAGGCATTGGGAGAGGTCAGTGATTTTCAGTTCCAGTCCTTGACCTCCTGGTTCCTCCTTAGCTGAGCTGCCAGTGCCCGTAGGCCCAGGAGGTCCTGTTTGCGACCAAGGACAGTTGCTCTGGTAGAATCTGATTGGCTACTCCTAAGTCCAACAAGGACCTTCCTTTACTTTAGAGAAGTCACTTTTCCCACCAGGATCTTTCCACACCCACCTGGCTGCTTGTCCTCTGAGTGGTTATTCAGAGAGCCTGGAGCGGCAGGACTTGTGGTGGGTAGGGGCCATCCGGAAAAACAGGCCAGGCCCTCCCTGTCTCCAGGGCCTGCTTCAGTGTCGGTTCCCGGCACCTTGGCCTGCCTCAGTCCACCTGACCTGAACTGTGGGGGCAGAGGCTGCGATTGTGTGCCTTGCCCCGGGCTGGGGAGGGAGGTCAAAACACTCTTGGAGCAACCGGTCAGCTTTGGAATGTGACGGAGAAGGACACACACCCGCCGTTTAAACTATAGGAACAGCTGCAGTGGTCTTGGGGAGCGCAGATGCCGAGAGGGGAAGGACAGTCTGGAGATAAAGTGTCTATAAGGGTGTGATGGCGGGGTGGGAGGCCTTGTGGCATTCCTCTGAGCACATTCCAACTCCAGTCCTGCCACTGCGAGCCGCCTCGACACCTTAGTTTTCTTATCTGTAAAATGGGCATGGCCCCCAGCTTCCTAGGGTTGGTGTGCAGGATGGAATGAGAATGCAAGTTCAGCCCCTAGGGCAGGTGCTGCGGGCAGCCAGGAAGTGGCAGTCATGGTGGAGGGAGGTTCTGGGGACCGTGCTGGCAGCCTTTGTCTAGGAGACACCTTTGCCCCGGGAAGAACTTCTCCTGTGATGAGGGGAGACAGTAGAGAACTCCAACCTGGGAAAACCCCTGACCCCTGAGTGGCAGGGTACACAGCCCTCCACTGTGCTCCTTCCTGCTGGGGGCTCAAGAATTACTGCCGGCCTTGGGGCGGGGGGCTCAGCCGTGGTGAAGTCACACTCAGATGGGCCGTAAGCTCTGCAGCTCTTCCCCCTATCCCACTCTTGGGAGAGCAGGGCAGTCGCTGTTTAATCTGGGTCCTGGGGCTTGACTCTCAGGGCCTTCAAGCCAGCAACCAGGTGACTTAACCTGTGTCCTCATTTCTAAGTGAGGTAACCATCAGAGTTGATCAGACCAGGTAAGAGATCATCCATAAAAGGCTTAGCATCATTCCAGCCACATGGCACGTTCCCAAAATACCAGTGGTGGGGTTACTCTGGGAGTCCTCCATTGTGTGACGGTGGGTACCGGGGTTCCAGGTGCCTCGGCAGTTCCTAGAGGCCCTTGGCCAGCAGGGACCTCTTTGAGGTCAGGGGTTTCCCTGGAGGCTTTGAAACAATTGAAGAGGAAATTCTCAGAAGACAGCAAATACATAAATAGGTAACTGATCATCATCCTCTTAACCCCAAAGCCGAATGTGAGACACCATGCTTGCCACTGGTCCGACAGCCTTAAGGGATGCTGCCTCTGTGAGTTTCCTTTCCGGATCTGGCCCTTCAGTATCCTCCCTAGAGGCTGTGTCTGTGTTTGCCTCTCGGACTCCCCTCTGACCGAGACAGGGGACAGGGTGGCCGTGGTTAATTCTCTTTGTTCCCTTGGTAGTCAGGAGGGCCACTTAGACCTATCTGGCCTGTAGGCTGTCCATGCGGGCTGTATCCCCAGGCGCATGGCCCAGAACACGTTGTGAGAGATTGTGGGTGGGAAGATGAGGAATCTGCCACATGGCCACTGTGATTGCAGTGTCCTGGTCCTTGCCCTTTGAGAATGCTGTCCCGGGTGTTTGGGGAAGAGGGCCCCACCCTCCTCACCACTGAGCCTGCTATGGAGTTGTTGCACAGGCCTGGAGGCCCCGGAGGGTCCCATGATTTGGGCTGATAGCATCTTGAGAAAGCCAAGTTTGTGAGTCTAGCTTGGGTGGGGGCTACTTTGTTTTTGTTGACTGCGTAAGAGTAACATTCTTCTCACTGTGGACAGCCTCTTCGCCATTGTCTTGTGTTGGAGAGCAAAGGCTTCTACCTGGGTGTCCGCAGTGGCCCGAGATGTCCATGAGGCCTAAGGGAACATGTAGCTCATCAGCCTGAGGTTGGGATGGTCTTTGAGAGCTTCCATCCATGCCTGCACCCTCAGGGGCCTGCATGTAACTGTTGTGGGTAGATGTTCAAGCAGTCAGTGTGTGTGTGTGTGTGTGTGTACACGCATGCGGACATGCACACAACCCCACAGCTTTCCTCCACTGTTTTCCAAATGTTACCCTGCTCCTCAGGAAGCACCCAAGACTCTAAGGGTCCCTGGCTTTGGCTCTTGTCACCACCCCCACCCTGGAGCTGAGGGCTGCCCTGGAAGTGTGAGGGAGTGGCTGGGCTCAAAAGCCAGTCATTTGGAAGCAGGAGCCTCTGATTCCCGTGGTTACAGGGCAGTTTTTATTTGGGGTTGCTGGAGCAGCAGTGGGGAGAGGGAGGGAGCGCGTGTGACTCAGTCACACTGTGGGGCTCCTGCTGGCTCAGCAGTTCCCCCTTCCTCTGCCTGTGCCCTGGTCCCAGGGCGGGGCCTTTGTGGCTGCCCCTCCTCTGCCCTGCTGTCCCCTTCCTGTGGGCTACCAGCTCCTGGAGCTCAGCAGAGCCTCTCTCCCAGACGACCTTGAGGGCTGTCCTCTTCCTCAGCTGGGAGCTGCTCTCTGCACTCCTTATTGTGGCCCCCTCAGGACGGCAGCGACAGGCTGGTGCTGCTCAGTGGCTGGCTGGTCTGGTCCAGGTGCTTCCCCTGGCCTTCCCGCCATGCCCTGCGATAGCATTAGCACAATGGCAGGAGCTCTGTGGGAATCAGCAGGCTCTTTTCCCCGGGCAGGGCCAGGCCTCTGCAAAATGAGGTAGTCATGAAAATGCTTTGTCCTTCCCGACAGCCAAGTCATAAAAATGAAAACACAGTGCAGGCCCTTTGTGCCACCGCCAGCCCCGGCGGGGAGGTGTCTGCTCATTTTGCTGGCCGAGCTGGCAGTGGAGCCCTGGGCCTAGTCCTCCGCTGAGGACTGATGGTGGCCAGAGAGGGGAGCTGGGCTTGGATGGTCCAGCTGTGTGGGCCTAGGCTTGCAGAGCCCCTAAGAGGCAGGACTCTAGAGGAGAAGAGTTCATGGTAGGGGGCTTGTCACAGGGCACCTGCGCCTGCAATTCGGCCTGGGTGGGAAGCAGGGTCCTTAATGGGGAAGAGAACGTTAGTTGTTTGTTGCCTCGAGTTGATTCTGACTGGTGTGGAGAGCAGCTCTGTTCATAGGACTTTGCTTTATTGCCAGGCCTGTTTCCTGACATCCATGGGGTGGATTCAAACCCCCAAACTTGTGGCTAGTACAGCACTGAACCATGAAGACATGGAAACTGAGGCTCTGGGGGGAGGGGGTAAGGAGAGAAAGCTCCTGGCCACTCAGGGTAG